TCCCAACAAAGAAAAGCCCAGGACCAGATGGATTCACTGCTGAATTCTACCAGACATTTAAAGAAGAACTAACTCCAATTCTTCTCAAACTATTCAGAACAATCGAAGAAGAGGGAATCCTCCCAAATTCTTTCTATGAAGCCAGCATCACCTTAATTCCTAAGCCGGAAAAAGATGCAGCACTGAAAGAGAATTACAGACCAATATCCCTGATGAACATAGATGCAAAAATCCTCAATAAAATTCTCGCCAATAGAATGCAACAACACATCAGAAAGATCATCCACCCAGACCAAGTGGGATTTATCCCTGGTATGCAGGGATGGTTTAATGTGCGCAAGACAATCAATGTGATACACCACATTAACAGACTACAGAAGAAAAACCATATGATTATCTCAATAGATGCCGAGAAAGCATTTGATAAAATACAACACCCGTTCATAATGAAAACTCTAAGCAAAGTGGGTTTGGAAGGAACATTCCTCAATACAATCAAAGCAATCTATGAAAAACCCACAGCCAACATCCTATTGAATGGGGAAAAGTTGGAAGCATTTCCACTGAGATCTGGTACCAGACAGGGATGCTCACTCTCACCACTGCTATTCAATATAGTTCTGGAGGTTCTAGCCAGAGCTATTAGGCAAGAAAAAGAAATTAAGGGATACAAATTGGGAAGGAAGAACTCAAACTATCCCTCTTTGCAGATGACATGATTCTTTATTTAGGGGACCCAAAGAACTCTACTAAGAGACTATTGGAACTCATAGAAGATTTTGGCAAAGTAGCAGGGTATAAAATCAATGCACAAAAATCAACAGCCTTTGTATACACAGACAATGCCATGGCTGAGGAAGAACTTCTAAGATCAATCCCATTCACAATAGCTACAAAAACAATCAAATACCTTGGAATAAACTTAACCAAGGACTGTTAAAGATCTCTACGATGAAAATTACAAAACCTTAAAGAAAGAAATAGAAAAGGATACCAAGAAATGGAAAAATCTTCCATGCTCATGGATTGGAAGAATCAATATCATCAAAATGTCCATTCTCCCAAAAGCAATTTATAAATTCAATGCAATACCAATCAAGATACCGAAGACCTTCTTCTCAGATCTGGAAAAATTGGTGCTGAAATTATATGGAGGCACAAGAGACCTCGAATAGCTAAAGCAATCTTGTACAACAAAAACAAAGCCGGAGGCATCACAATACCAGATTTCAGGACATACTACAGGGCAGTTGTAATCAAAACAGCATGGTACTGGTACAGAAACAGATGGATAGACCAATGGAACAGAATTGAAACACCAGAAATCAACCCAAACATCTACAGCCAACTTATATTTGATCAAGGATCTAAAACTAATTCCTGGAGCAAGGACAGTCTATTCAATAAATGGTGCTGGGAAAACTGGATTTCCACGTGCAGAATCATGAAGCAAGACCCCTACCTTACACCTTACACAAAATCCACTCAACATGGATTAAAGACCTAAATCTACGACCTGACACCATCAAGTTACTAGAGAACATTGGAGAAACCCTTCACGATATTGGCACAGGCAAAGACTTTCTGGAAAAGACCCGGGAGGCACAGGCAGTCAAAGCCAAAATCAACTATTGGGATTGCATCAAATTGAGAAGTTTCTGTACTGCAAAAGAAACAGTCAGGAGAGTGAAGAGACAACCGACAGAATGGGAAAAAATATTTGCAAACTATGCAACAGATAAAGGGTTAATAACCAGAATCTACAAAGAGATCAAGAAACTCCACAAAAACAAAACCAACAACCCAATTAAGAGATGGGCCAAGGACCTCAATAGACATTTTTCAAAAGAGGAAATCCAAATGGCCAACAGGCACATGAAAAAATGTTCAAGGTCATTAGCAATCAGGGAAATGCAAATCAAAACCACAATGAGGTTCCACCTCACCCCGGTTAGAATGGCTCACATTCAGAAATCTACCAACAACAGATGCTGGCGAGGATGTGGGGAAAAAGGGACACTAACCCACTGTTGGTGGGAATGCAAACTGGTCAAGCCACTATGGAAGTCAGTCTGGAGATCCCTCAGAAACCTGAAGATAACCCTACCGTTCGACCCAGCCATCCCACTCCTTGGAATTTACCCAAAGGAATTTAAATTGGCAAACAAAATGCGGTCTGCAACCCAATGTTTATTGCAGCTCAATTCACAATAGCTAAGACCTGGAACCAACCTAAATGCCCATCAACGATAGACTGGATAAAGAAATTATGGGATATGTACTCTTTAGAATACTATACTGCAGTAAGAAACAACGAAATCCAGTCACTTGCAACAAAATGGAGGAATCTGGAACACATCATGCTGAGTGAAATAAGCCAGTCCCAAAGTGACAAATACCATATGTTCACCCTGATCGGTGACAACTGACTGAACACCAAAAAGGAAACCTGTTGAAGTGGAATGGACACTATGGGAAACGGTGACTTATTCAGCATAGCCCTGACTGTTAATGAACAACTTAATACATTATCCCTCTTAGTAGTTTTTTTTGTCTGTTCTATTTAATATGACTGGTTTAATTCTGTAATTAATACACAGTTATTCTTAAGTGTTGAAATTTAACTGAAATGTGATCCCTGTTAAACATAAGAGTAGGAATAAGAGAGGGAAGAGATATATAATTTGGGACATGCTCAAGCTGACTTGCCCCAAATGGTAGAGTTAGAAACATACCAGGGGACTCCAATTTAATCCCATCAAGGTGGCATGTACCAATGCCATCTCACTATTCCAAGTGATCAATTTCAGTTCACAATTGATCATAATGAAAGGACTAAGAGTCAAAGGGAGCACATAAACAAGTCTAGTACCTGCTAACACTAACCGATAGAATAAATAAAGGGGAGAGTGATCCAACATGGGAAGTGAGATACTCAGCAGACTCATAGAATGGCAGATGTCCTAAATAGCACTCTGGCCTCAGAATCAGCCCTAAAGGCATTCGGATCTGGCTGAAAAGCCCATGAGAGTATTTCAGGCATGGAAAGCCAAGACACTCTGGCAAAAGATCTCTGTGAGTGAGATCTCAGTGGAAAGAACAGGTCTTCAAAGAAGGAGGTACCTTTCTCTGAAGGGAGGAGAGAACCTCCACTTTGACTATGACCTTGTCTAAACAAGATAAGAGTCGGAGAACTCAGAGGGATTCCATAGCCTTGGAAACTCATGACTGGAGCATAGGGAGATTACTGATGCCATAGACAGGAGTGTCAATTGGTAAAGTCAACAACAGGAGTCACTGTGCACTTACTCCTCATGTAGGATCTCTGTCCTTAATGTGCTGTGCATTGAGATTTAATGCTATAACGAGTACTCAAACAATATATTTCACTTTGTGTTTCTATGGGGGTGCAAACTGTTGAAATCTTACTTAATGAATACTAAACTGATCCTCTGTAAAAAAAAAAAAAAAGAAAAAAAGAAATTATCAACTCCCAACTTGACTCTCACTGGGATTAAACATGACAATAGGTCTGATCTGATTTCATCATCATTTAAAAAAAATCATCTATTATTTTTCACTTTATGTTTATGTGTGGGAGCAAACTGTTGAAATCCTTACTTAATGTATACTAAGCTGATCTTCTGTATATTAAGATAATCGAAAATGAATCTTGATGTGAATGGAAGGGGAGAGGGAGTGGGCAAGGGGAGGTTTGTGGGTGGGAGGGACGGTATGGGGGGCAAGCCATTGTAATCCATAAATCGTACTTTGGAAATTTATATTCATTAAATAAAAGTTAAAAAAGACAAAACAAAAATGTATGCCACTGGAAATTGTAAATCAGATATATTCACAATAGCAAGAGAGATTAAAAATTTAAAATGAAAAAAAAATTACCTTCAAATAGGCAGAAGAAACAAAGGATAGGCAGTAGGACTTGATTATGTCTCAGGGATTTACCACAGAAAATGTATGCAAAAAACCCACCATCATCAAAGCAAACATATTCTACCATGCATGTCTAGGTTTTATTCTCCATTAGGTGATATGTTTTGGAAAATTTCATTCTAATAGCATTAGCACTTAACGACAGAGCACTAATCTTTCTAAAAATAAAATTTAGTATTTAGATTCTCAAAACTCACCAAACCAACTGGAAATGTCTAGTTGTAAAACAACAATGTTATGCTCAAGTCAGTTTCACATCATAAATGATAATCTATGACTAATGTCAGTAGGCAAATTCCAATTCTAAACACTACTGGAGATTGCCACTGTGATTTTCAACTGTGTTGACATTCATCTTATTGCTGAATTGTAGGCAAATTTCTTTGGCAACATTTACATATCAGTTAATGCCACAGGAAAAACTGTTACATTAATTTAGCATCTCAAAACTTCAGTAGAATTACTTAAATACATTTTCTAATAGATTCTACAATAGGAAAGCCTCCAAACATGCCTATTAACAAAATCTGTTCAAAGAAAGCAAACTATTAAAGAATCAAGACACGTATCTCACATGAACTACTTAAATTTAATTGTATAAGTTACAGCTAAATTCACCAAATAATTTAAAAAATCCTTAAATAAAAGCCGATGATTTAAAATAAATTTCTTTATAATTTACCTAACTTTATTATAATTCACAGCTATTTAGCCTGAATTTTAACATAAAATGTCTAAATCAATCTTCATGTTAGTTATTAAATGCAACTCAATATGCACTGCTTTCTTTAGAAAATATGTACTAAGCACCATCATGTACCAAGACTCACAAGCAATAACTCCAGCAATATATGTCATAATTCATCTTCAGAATAATTTTTGGGTTGCTTTAAATAAAGATTACACATCTGTGTGTCTGTGTGCATACACACCTGTTTAGGTATGTGTGTGTATATATATATTTATGTATATATCTTGAATGAGGAGGACATTATATGTAACAGTGATTCAAGTCAGAAACATAAAAATTTTATCAAAGATTAACTTACCTGGGTCAAATTGTTTTTTGAAGTTCTCGCATCCATTTCTAGTGTTCTATGTGTCACTTCAAGTTGTTTCATTTCTTCTTTATGATATTGCTTTTCTTTTCTTCTTAACTGTTCCCTAGTTTTTTTACACAATATATCAGTATTGGTCTCTTTTTCTTGTTTTAGGTAAAAACATGCTTGTTTCAAAATTCATTTTATTAGAAATTAAAAGATTCATTTTATAATCTTATACTACCATGCAGCTTATACACTCTAATAAAATTTATGTTCTCAAATATCTTCTTATAACATTTCATTTAAATCTCTTCTTCAAAGGACAGAGTTGAAAGTTAGCTGTGAAAGCACATTCTTAAAACAAAACAAAAAAATAGCACATTCTTGAGATTGGTATTGTGTAGTGTGTCAAGCTACCGCCTGTGATACTAACACCCCGTGTGGCCACAGGTTCCTCTCCCAGCAGATGTACTTCCTATCTAGCTCCTTGCTAATGGCCTGGGAAAGCAGCACAAGGTGACTCAAGTATTTCAATCTCTGCTGCCACCTACCTGGGAGACCTAGAAGAAGCTCCTAGCTCCTGGCTTCAGCCTGGCTCAATCCTGGCCATTGAGGCCACCCACAGTGAACCAGCAGCTCGCTCACTCGCTCGCTCTCTCTCACTCTTTCAAATAAATAAATAAATCTTTGTTATCAGAAATTACATTCTGATAATTGATAAGATTCTGTTACTTGCAACTGATAACTGTTATCAAGAAAGGAATTTCGAAATTATCCAGTAGAGTTATGAGTTGAAAATTACCTCTTCCTCATCCATTCATATTTACATCTCCATTAGGAAAGGTAATTTAGAATTAACCAATCTTTAATGAATTTTTTAAAAAAAGACTTATGCATTTATTTGAGAGGCAAAGTGATATATAGAGAGAAGAGACACACAGAGAGGTCTTCCATCTGCTGGTTTACTCTCCAAATGGCCACAACAGCAGGAGCTCAGAGGATATGAAGGGAGAAGCCAGGAACTTCTTCCTTATCTCCCATGTGGGGTGCAGAGCCCCAAGCACTTGGCACCTTCTAATGCCTTCTTAGGCCTTAAGCAGGCAGCTAGATCAGAAGTGGAGCACCCAGGACTTGGACCAGTACCCATACAGAATGCTGGTGCTACAGGCAGAGGCTTAACTTACTATGCAACAGTTCTGGCCCTTAATGAATTATTTTTTTATAAACACCTTTATATAGTTATTAGAACTACAGTTTCAACTTTATCAAATATTACACGTATCCTTAAAAATTATTTAGAGTGTAAGACAGCCTATAATTTATACATGTCTTTTACATGATACACACAGCTACTGATTAATATCATCCAAGGGTAAAGAGTATATGTGTCACTTCATATAATTGATATTTTTAGTAGTATTTTCAACTTAATGATTATTAAAATTTCATAAACAATTTCAAAAAATGACATTGTTAATTAAGCAAGGGTGCTACGTGCTTTCAACATAGAACATGAAACGAATTTTTGCATGTAAAAAAGAGAAATGTTCAAGAAACTAATCAGAGATTACTTTCCAGTTTTCTGTCATCCCATGCATGTTAAAATAAGTAAATTTCAAAGTCTTCAAAGGTTAAAAAAAACTGTCAACTATATATCTGTTGATGGAAGTATAAGCTTATGTACTTTCTTGACAAAAATTTAGAAATATTAACCAAGCATTTAAAAAGGTTTCCTCAAATTTAGCCATAAAATCCATATTGAAGTATTTATTCAAAGTCAAGCACTTGGAATATAAAGAAATGTTTATATAGAAGATGTTTGTTGCAGCATGACTTATAATACAACAAAATATAAACTCAAAATACAATGTTCAAAACAAATCATGAAACTTCTATATGGTGTGCTTCTATGTAACTAAGATTACAATCTGAAGAAGTTGTATTTAATTATTACAAGCATTCACACTTAAGAACTTGTACATTATTTGCAATTCTTGTGAATTTCACACATCCTAAGAGTAAGAAGTTTCTACCCTGTAAAATCCCAGAATATCTCGGATGGTCAAAGATGAAAAATCCTCCACAAAATACCAGCTCATTGAATCCAACAACACATCAGAAAGATCATTCACCCAGACCAAGTAGGCTTTATCCCTGGTATGCAGGTATGGTTCAACATTTGCAAACCAATCAATGTGATACAACACATTAACAAATTGAAGAAAAAACACATTATTATCTCAACAGATTTAGAAAAAGCATATAAGATATAGCATCCTTTCATGATGAAAATCTTAAGTGAACTGAGTATAGAAGCAACACTCATCAATACAATCAAGACAAATTATGACAAACCCACAGTGAGCACCTTATTGAATGAGTAGAAACTGGAGGCATTCCCCCTAAGATCTGGAACCAGACAGGAATGCCCAACTCTTACCACTGTCATTCCATATAATCATGGAAGTTTTAGCCAGAGCCACTAGGCAAGAAAATAAAACCAAAGGAATACAAATTGGGAAGGAAGAAGTCAAACTATTCCAATTTGCAGATGACATGCTTTCATATTTAGGGGATGCAAAAGACTCCACTAAGAGACTACTGAAACTCATAAAAGAGTTTGGTAAAGTGGCAGAATATCAAATTAACACACAAAAATCAAATCAATAGCTGATCTATACATAGACAATGCCATAACAGCTACAAAAATTCATACCTTCAAATAAATTTAACCAAGGATGTCAAAGATTTCTATGATGAAAATTACAAAACATTAGAAAGTGAAATAGAAGAAGACATAAAAAGTAGCAAAATCTTCGATGTTCATGGTTTGGAAGAATCAAAATCATGAAAATGTCTGTACTACCAAAAGCAATTTACAGATTCAATTCATTCCTAATCAAAATACCCATCAGATTTTTCTCAAATTTAAAAAGAATGATGCTAAAATACATAAGGAAACACTAGAGACCCTGAATAGCTAAAGCAATGTTAAACAATAAAAAAAAGCTGGAGGCATCACAATACCAGACCTCAAGATATACTATAGGGCAGATATAATATAAACACATTGGTGCTGGCACAAAAACAGATGTATAGACCAATGGCATAGAATAGAAACTCCAGAAATCAATCCATGCATCTACAATGAGCTTACTTTTGACAAAGAAGATAAAATCAATCCCTGAAGAAAGAACAGTCTCTTCAACAAATGGTGTTGGGGAAACTGGATCTCCTCATGCAGAAATATGAAATAAGACCCCTACTCTACACTTTACACAAAATTCCACTCAAAATGGATCAGGAGCTAAATCTATGTCTCAATCCCATCAAATTAATAAATAACATTGAGGAAACTCCATAGTATATTGGCATAGACAAAGATTTCTTCGAAAAGACCCCAGAAAAGCACAGGCAATCAAAGCCAAAACTGACAACCGGGATTGCATCAAACAGGGAAGCTTCTGTACTTAAAATGTAACACTCAGCAAAGTGAAGAAGCTCTGACAGATTGAGAGAAATATTTGCAAATTATGCAACTGATAAAAGATTAATATCCACAGTTTATAAAGAGCTCAAGAAACTCAATCACAACAAAACAAAAAATCCAGTTAAGAAATGGGCAAAGGACTTTAACAGGCATTTTTCAAGAGTGGGAATTCAAATGGGCAACAGGCACTTGAAAAAATGCTTAACATTCTTCATTTTGATTTATTTGAGGACCATAAATTTCATGGATTCCATACATACATATTTAGGAACATAGTGATTCTACCCACCCTCCATCCCACCCATACTCCCACTTGTCTTCCTCTTCCCCATACTCTTTCCATTCTTATTTTTCACAAATATCTATTTTCAGTTAACAAACACATAAGATTAACCTTATACTAGTTAAAGAGTTCAACAAATAGTATGAAGGAATAAAAATTAGTATGAAGGACAGTACTGACCCAGTAGAGTCAGGCATTCATGGCTACAATTTATTTTATTTATTTTTTTTGACAGGCAGAGTGGACAGTGAGAGGGAGAGACATAGAGAAAGGTCTTCTTTTGCCGTTGGTTCACCCTCCAATGGCCGCCGCGGACAGCGCGCTGTGGGCAGCGCGCCGCGCTGATCCGAAGCCAAGAGCCAGGTGCTTCTCCTGGTCTCCCATGGGGTGCAGGGCCCAAGCACTTGGGCCATCCTCCACTACACTCCCTGGCCAAAGCAGAGAGCTGGCCTGGAAGAGGGGCAACCGGGACAGAATCCGGCACCCCGACCAGGACTAGAACCCGGTGTGCCGGCGCCGCCAGGTGGAGGATTAGCCTGTAAGCCATGGTGCCGGCCCATGGCTACAATTTATTGGGTTAAAAAAGTTTTAAAGAATCAGTGAAATGCAAATCAAAACCACAATGAGTTTCACTCCAGTTAGAATGGCTCTCATACAGAAATCAACAACAATAAATGTTCACAAGGATGTGGGGGTAAAGGTACCCTAATCCACTGTTGGTGGGAATGTAAACTGGTGCACCTGCTGTAGAAGATAGCATGGAGATACTTCAGAAATCTCAATATAGACCTACCATATGATCCAGCCATCCCACTCCTGGGAATTTACCCAAATGTAAAGATACTGGCAAATGAGAGAATAACCTGTACACCATGTTTATTACAGCTCATATGAAATGAACCAAGATGTCCATCAACTGAAGACTGGGTAGAGAAATTATGCTATAAATACACTATGGAATAATATACTGGGGTAAAATGAAATAATTTCTTTTGTTACAAAATGGATGTAACTAGAAACGATTACTTAGAGTAAAAAGCCTATCCCAAAAAAGACAAATACCTGTGTTCTTTCTGATCTGTCATAACTAATAGAGTATGTAAAATGTAATCTACTGGGATGAAATTGACATTTTGAGATGTGATGATTTTGAACAGCTCGTCTTGAGTACTGAGGAGCAGTGTTTTTTGTTGTTGTTCTTCATACTATTTGTTGAACTCTTCACTTAGTGTATGGTTAACCTTGTGTGTATAAAGTTAACTGAAAATAGAAATTTGTTAAAAATAAGAATAGAAAGAGGAGAGGAAGGAGGAAGAATGGTGGGATTATGGGTGGAATATAAGGTAGGAAGAATTACTATGTTCCTGAATTTGTATACATGATGCATGATGTTTGTGTTCCTTAAATAAATCAAAATGAAAAAAGTTAAAGTCTTCAAAAATAGATGTTCCATTTCTGAGTCAATTCTGAATGAACCATCTTCTACCATAAAATATACATGAATTGAAGTTCTACAGATAATTTAAAGCACCAAGCATTGTTATACCTAGATATGTGCATAAAATTAAATTCACTATGCGTTCTGCTACATCATTTCTAGTAGTATAGATGGACTAAAAGCTTCTATGTTAAAATAAAAGAAAATCCCCTTGACTGCCACATTTTTTTGTCAAGTATCTTAACCTTACTGCAGTATTGATATAGTTGAGTATTCTCTTGTTTGGCTTGTAGATTACACTATTCTTTCCTATTTTCAGTAAAAGTAGTCACCGTTAACATTGCTTCACTGGAAACTAAAGAATTCATAGATTTTACCTTTTAAGACGATCGAGCTCACTCAGATTGTTGTCATAAATCACTTGCAGTAGACTTCTAGTGAGTGAAAAGCCATTCTCAAACACTGGTCTAATCCCATACTCCATGGAAGTCACTTTTTCATTTTCATTTTTTATTTCCTTTATATGCAAGGCAGGGCAGCTATTTTAAAAAGATCATTAAAATGGCAATGTTTTTTACTCTACTGGGAAAGATTAAAGAAGCACAATTTTGACAAAATTCTTATTCTTCCCCAACTTAATTCATTTACTAACTCAAAAAGATAGGAAGTGATAACTACATGTAAAGAAAGGTGTACAGGAAATTTAAAAAATTACATGAAAATTGGGTGAAAAGTAGTTTTGATACAAAAACTTTGAAATCCAGGATGAATAATTTTTTTTTGACAGGCAGAGTGGACAGTGAGAGAGAAAGAGACAGAGAGAAAGGTCTTCCTTTGCCGTTGGTTCACCCTCCAATGGCCGCCGTGGACAGCGCGCTGCGGCCGGCGCACTGCGCTGATCTGATGGCAGGAGCCAGGTACTTATCCTGGTCCCCCATGGAGTGCAGGGCCCAAGTACTTGGGCCATCCTCCACTGCACTCCCTGGCCACAGCAGAGAGCTGGTCTGGAAGAGGGGCAACCGGGACAGAATCCGGTGCCCCGACCGGGACTAGAACCCCGTGTGCCGGTGCTGCAAGGCGGAGGATTAGCCTAGTGAGCCGCGGCGCTGGCCAGGCTGAATAATTTTTATAACATGCATTTTATACACTTACTGAACACACCTTGTTATATCTTCTTTGGAAAACAGGTAAAAACACAATTATGATATAAGGTAATATGGAAGGGTTGATATTGGGAGGGTGGTGTTTCACCTATTCGTTAATAAGCAGGGGGCTGGCGCTGTGGCATAGTGGGAAGAGCACTGCCTGCAGTGTTGGCATCCCATATGGGTGCCAATTTGAGTCCCTGCTGCTCCACTTCTGATCCAGCTCTCTGCTGTGCTCTGGGAAGGAAGCGGAAGATGGACCAAGTCTTTGGGCCTGTGTACCTCCTTGGAAACCCGAAGGAAATTCCTGGCTCCTGGTTTCAAATCAGTGCAGCTCTAGCCATTGTGGCCATTTGAGGAGTGAACCAGCAGATGGAAGACCGCTCTCTGTCTCCCTTTCTCTGTCACTCTGTAACTCTGCCCTTTAATAATAAATCTTTATATATGTGTATATAAACATATATATATATATGTTTATACATATATAAACATACAGGGTAAGACATTCTTGTCCCATATCAAAGTGCCTGGATTTGAATCCTGGATTCACTATTAATTCCAGCTTTATAATATACTGGGAAACACTAGAAGATTGGTCCAAGTAGTTTAATCCCTGCCACTTGTATGCAAGACATGGTTTGGGTTGCTGACTATGGGCTTAAGCCTGGCTCAGTTCTGGCCACTGAGGGAATTTATGGGGTGTATTAGAAGAGGGGAGTTATCTCTGACTGCTTCAGATTCTTTTTTAAAAATATTTATTTATTTATTATTTGAAAGGCAGAGTTACAGAGAGGCAGAGAGAGAGAAGTCTTCCATCCACTGATTCATTCCCCAAATGGCTGCAATGGTGAGAGCTAGGCTGATCTGAACCCAGGAGCCAGAAGCTGATTCCAGGTCTCCCACACAAGTGCAGGGACCCAAGGACTTGGGCCATCTTCTACTGCCTTCCCATGCCATAGCAGAGAGCTGGATCAGAAGTAGAGCAGCCGAGATTCAAATCAGCACCCATATATGATGCCAGCACCTCAGGCAACGGCTTCAGTAGCTACACCAGAGTGCCAGCCCCTGTTTCAGACTCTTAAATAAAAAAGTGTTGATATTGGAAACTGATATCTGAGCACAGGAAAGCTTTACAAAGGAGGTTAAAAAAAAAAAAAAGGAAAAAGAACTCATGAGGGAAAAATGTGGATGAAAACCATTTTATTTACAGAATGTGCAAAGAGTAGGCATATGATATCTGATATATTTCTTTGGAATTTGCAAGAAAAATATAAAATACCTAAATCTATCATTGAGAGATGAGGCCTACACTAATTTTGAATGCTACACTAAAATATAGAGGTCCACAGTCTGTATGCATAATATTCAGGTTTGGAAGTAGCAGTTATAATTGTGCTATATTTTTGCTTTTTTGTGAAATATAATAATGCCAACCTTAGATGAAAATTTAACATTTAATTTTTTAATTTACTTTGACAGGCAGAGAGGCTGATGGAGTAGGAGGAGGGAGGGAGGAAGGAGCAGAAGAAGGGAGAGGGATCACTTATCCTCTGGGCCAGGGTGAAGTCAGGAGTCCAGAAATCAATCATTGTTTCCTGCCTGGGTGCATGGACCCAAGTACTGGAGCCATCATCTGTTGATTTCCAGGATATTATATTTTATTATATAAGGTATAATAAAACATATATGTATATATAATAAAACATATATACATACACACATAAATGTAGACTACTAGAGTCGAAAGATTATAAATGTATATAATTGCCAACTAAAATAAATAGAATGAACCCAGATAAAATCAATTTTAAGTGAGTATTATTCTAATGTCTAAAAAAACTCGAAGGATAAGCTGCATTCACTCAAGTAATAAAAAATTATTGAGTAGCTGCTCATTGCATGCATGTTAGGGCCTCTTCTATGTACAAAAGATATGGCAGTGAAAAGACAAAATCCAACACAAAAGAGTAAAGCAAAAACATTAGCAATGAACAAGCTATATAAAAACAAAATACAGTATGTTAGAGGTAGAGAACAAAAGCAGAGAAATGATGTTTTCCATGTTTAAGGGAGGTGTGGACATATTAGAAGGCCAAAGAAGATCTTGCTTAGGAAGAAAAAAATTGAAGGAAGGAAAGGAATCAGCCAGGTGGACATCTAAGGAAGAATCTTCAAACACAGAAGGAGCCCAGGTATGTTTAAGGAATAGTGAAAATTTCTGTAGCATAAGTAGAATGAAGGAGATGGAAAATCACAAATTGAAATCACAGCGATAAGGAGGAGTGAGGTCACAACATGTATTGCCTTGTAGGCATTAGAAAGAAGTTTAGTATGTGAATTCAAATGAAATCACCAGGTTTTAAGTAGAAAAAAATGACATAATCTGACTTTAAGAGATCCCCTGTGTTAAAATTTAATGAAAAGAGGATTTATGAAAAAATAAACAAGAAAATCACTGAGGAATCTACAAACTAATTAGACAGCAGCTGATGCTGACTTGGATATGATGTATCTAGCTTCTGGACATATTGTGAAGGTATACTTGACAACATGTGCTGTCACATAAAGGCTGAGGTCTAAGAATGCTCCAAGGCTGTTGGTAGAACAGATGAAAGAGTTGCCATTCGCTGAAGTAGGAAAAACTATATGAGGGGCTGCTATGAACAAGAACATCATTAGCACAGCACTAGGCTAAATTTTAAATACTGAATAAATGACCAAAGAGAAGTGTTGAGTAGGCAGGTTATTATCTAAAATATGGAATTAAGGAGAGAGATCTAAGTTGCAGTTAAAAATTCATAATTCATTTGCATAAACAAGATAGTGAAACCATGAGAAAAAAGATCAAAGACAGCCTTGGGAAATATCCATGTTTTAAAAGTAGAAGATGAGAGAAACAAGGGAAACAACACAGGATGGAGTAGAAAAGAAACAGAAAGAGATTGGTTGAGAATTATACCCTGAAAGCCAAGTCAAGAAATGATCTTGAAGGAAAAGTGTTCTACAGACATAATAAAATGTTACAAAATCTAACCTGAGACTTAATGCCCAAATATGTTTAGCTTGTCCTAAAATAGTCTGTCCACAAATATAACACCATAAGTAATTGTTATTTTCCTATTGTTTCAAACTATATTGACAAAATGTATTATTTGAAGAGAATTTTTTAAAGATGTTTTACCCTCAAAGGATCAAATATTTTGAGTGGTTAATTAAAATGAGAGCCTGTGACAGCACTTTGCCACAGAGGGTTAAGCCACCATATGAAGTGCCACCATCCCATATGGGCCAGTTCGAGTCCTGATTTCTCTGCTTCCAATTCAGCTCCCTGCTAAGGTGCCTGGGAAATCAGTGGAGGACTGTCCAAGTTTTTGGGCTCATGCAACCATATGAGAGACCTGAAACAAATGCCTGGCTTCAGGCTGGCCCAGGTCCAGCCATTGCTGCCATTTGGGGAGCAAACCAGTGGATGCAAGATCTCTCTGTATCTCTTTCTCTGTCCCTCTAACTAGAAAAAGAGAGAGAGAGAGAGAAAGAGAAAAAAAGAGAAAAATAGAGAAAAAAGAAAGAAAGAGAGAGAGAGAAGGGAGGGAGGGAGGGAAGGAAGGGGGGAAGGGGAAAGGGAAGAAGGAGGGAAGGAAGGAAGGAGGGAAGGAATATTTAATGAAAAGAAAAGGAGACCTTGGAAAGTACTACAACATAGATTAAAAATCAGTGGCAATCCAGAGAAAACCTGTTTTGGAGGGGTTGTGGGAATGTAAACAACTGGAGTGAGTCCAAGAGTGAAGAGAAAGTCAATTTGAGTCAGGGAATAGAGACAGTTCTCCCAAGGAGATCACTGCTAAGGCCATGATCATTGAAGATCTATTTTTCTCCATGTTTAACTGAATTTTTCAATCCTCGCATAATGGTTTTAGGGAATATTTGTGATTCTCTAAAGTTGTTGGAACTAAAAATGTTCTGATCAAAGCAGTAAATAATTCATAAACTTAAGGAAGTGAATTCCCTGAAAAGTTCCTCATTAGGTATTATATAACTGAATATTATTATTCTGCTGATAATATTGAAAATCTAAATTTTTCAAGGGCGACTTTTGGGTTGCTTAAAAGCCAGGAGGCAGGAGATTCTTCCATGTCTCCCACATGGGTGCAGGGTCCCGTGCACCTGGGCCATCTTTGGCTGCTTTACCAGGCAAGTTAGTACAGAGCAGGATCAGAAGAAGAGCAGCCAGGATTTGAACTGGCACCCAATATGGGATGACAACACTGCAGGTGGAAGTTTAAGTTGTATGCCACTGCACCAGCTCCACACTAGAGTTTTTGTAAGCTCTATTTGATGTCACTCCTGAAAAATACAGTATGATACATTCTGAAACATTCTTTAGCCTGTAGTCCATCTTCTAAAGGAAGATTTATTGCATTAGCAGTACCAATGTTTTGGCATAGGTTCAGTAAAACCGTGCCCAAGAATAAATCCAGCTGAATCTTTCCTAGTACTGTTCATAAAGTTTTAGTGATATTAAGCCACACTAATTACCTTATAGTCTATGGAGGATTTCGCACCACAACTATAGAGACCTTCTGATGCAAAAAGCCTAAAATATTCATTATCTGGTTCTTTACAGAAAAAGTTTACATCTCCTGCTTTAGCAGATCAAACATCCTTTGACGCATTTGAGAAGGTTTACCTAACAAACTGAAATGCTTATAAGGAATATGGACCACAGTATGCAAATACCCAATAATGCTCAAATTATTTTATAGATTCTATATTTTAATATTTAGGCTCAAATTGGGATCAAAACTCAAAAATAAAATAGGTATTGGTTATAAGAAGTACAAGTGTCCCATGGACTCCCCTTTTGCAACTCAGCAGATATGGTATTTTAATAAAATATGCTTAAGATGCATCACCAAACTAGTCACATTAAATATTCTCTAGTTGTGAAAAAGCAGTGTACTATAGATAAAACCTCATTTTTAAAAATGGTTGCATATTGTGTTCTTTTATTGGTATGACAATTTATTTCTATTTTGATTGGTATTTAGACTGATTCTAAATTTTTGATAAACAATGTTATTGTAAATGTCATATACATATGTACATAGGCAACATGTTTTATTAACCTATTTTCATTTTATTTGGAAGGCAGAGAAACACATCTAGATAGACTAACATATTAAGAAAGATTTTCCATCTGCTGTTTCATTCACAAATACCCAGGACAGCCAGGACTGGGCAAGAATCCCCAAGGGTCTGAATTTCCACCCAGGTCTCTTTAAGTGGGTGTGGACACCCAAGTACTGGAGCCACCATCTACTGCCTCCCATGAGATACACTCTTAGGAAGGTAGATAGGGGCCGGCGCCGCGGCTCAATGGGCTAATCCTCCATCTGCGGCGCCAGCACACAGGGTTCTAGTTCCGGTCAGGGCGCCGGATTCTGTCCCATTGTTCCTCTTCCAGTCCAGCTCTCTGCTGTGGCCAGGGAGTGCAGTGGAGGATGGCCCAAGTGCTTGGGCCCTGCACCCCATGGAAGACCAGGAGAAGCCCTGGCTCCTGCCTTCGGACCAGCGCGGTGCACCAGCCACAGCGCACCAGCCACAGCGGCCATTGGAGGGTGAAACAACAGAAAAGGAAGACCTTTCTCTCTGTCTCTCTCTCACTGTCCATTCTGCCTGTCAAAAAAATAAAAATAAAAAAATAAAATAAAGGAAGGTAGATAGGAAGCAGAGAAGTATGGACTCAGACCACCTTCATATAGGAAGAGTGCATGTCACTGGCCCTGCAACATATTTGTATAAATATCTTCATCATATGTGTTTTACATCCTTAACACTAATTGTCCTATTACATCTTACATAATAGATGATGACAATACATCATAAATGTCATTAACTTATGGGTGTAGTAGGGTACAATAGACCATACTATGCTATCTTGTCAGGTCTAATCCCAGAGTGAAGTTGCTACAAGGGCAAAGAATGGTTTATTTCAAATTTTGACATGTGCTCTTAAGCTACCCTTCAAAGAGTCATATACTTGTATTTACCAACAGTAGATAATAACTTTTCCCTCACATTTGCCAACTATTAACTTTTAAACAAATACTTAGCAGTATGGTTTGCAAATATTATTTGTTTCTTGATATATTTCTAATTCCAAAGCATGGAATAAAATCCTTAGTAAAAATATGTTAATCATAGATAATAACCCAATTAGAAGTGGCTTTATAGCACAATAAAAATCACATCACCTAATGTTAAATATTGCTATAGACTTACGAATAATATTCTTCACTCTTCTTAGTGGCAGATTGCTGGTTGTCAAGGTCCCCACTCTGTCTCTGCTGATTCAGTCCACAACCATCACTGTCCTCAGGAGGAGCAGCACTTTCATGCAAGTTTCTTAACACTTCCATTTCCTTACTTTGGCAACGCTGCCCTTTTTCTTCAAACTTTAATGAAAGTTTCATATTAAAATCGCTGTTAGTACATAAATATAAACATTTTTGTGTTCATTTATTATTCATTTTATGTAGCACACTTATTGCTACATAAATGTTTTACATACACTGTTTTCTACTACAGTGACAGAAAAAAATTTTGAACATCCTGCTACTGGTTGGAAAAAGTTTATCAATAATACTTTGGATATTACACATGTTACAATTCTGCAATAAATCAACAATGGAAACTGGAGAAAGAGAAACAATTCACCTCCAATAATTAGCTCTTACAATACACCACAGGCAATAGACAGTGTGCTAGAATCCTACAATGGTCTTAAAATGCTAATGTAAATTTCTGGTATTATTGATATTATTATTTTTTTTGACAGGCAGAGTGGACAGTGAGAGACAGAGAACGAGAGAAAGGTCTTCCTTTTGCCATTGGTTCACCCTCCAATGGCTGCCGTGGCTGGCGCACCGCGCTGATCCAAAGGCAGGAGCCAGGTGCTTCTCCTGGTCTCCCATGGTGTTCATGTTCAGGTAGGGTTATGATAAATAACCCTACACTTCTTAAATATTTATTTACATATAAGAGAGAAAGAGAGAGAGAGCACTTTCATCTGTTGGTTCCTTCCCCAGATGGCTGCAATGGCAAACACTGGGCAAGGCTGAAGTCAAGTGTCAGGAACTGCATCCAGGACTCCCAGATCAGTAGTAGGGGGCCAAACATTGGGTCTTCCTCCACTGTCTTCCTCACGCCATTATCAGGGAGTCAGATTGGAAGTAAGAAGCCAGATTATGAACTGTCACCAAGTGGGATGCTGGCATCAAAGGTGGCAGCTTTACCCACTATGTAATGTCAGTTCCAATTCAATCCCATCAAGGTGGCATGTACCAATGCCATCTCACTAGTCCAAGTGATCAATTTCAGTTCACAATTGATCATAATGAAAGGACTAAGAGTCAAAGGGAGCACATAAAAAAGTCTAGTACCTGCTAACACTAACCGATAGAATAAATAAGGGGAGAGTGATCCAACAGGGGAAGTGAGATACTCAGCAGACTCATAGAATGGCAGATGTCCTAAATAGCACTCTGGCCTCAGAATCAGCCCTAAAGGCATTCGGATCTGGCTGAAAAGCCCATGAGAGTATTTCAGGCATGGAAAGCCAAGACACTCTGGCAAAAGATCTCTGTGAGTGAGATCCCAGTGGAAAGAACAGGTCTTCAAAGAAGGAGGTACCTTTCTCTGAAGGGAGGAGAGAACCTCCACTTTGACTATGACCTTGTCTAAACAAGATAAGAATCGGAGAACTCAGAGGGCTTCCATAGCCTTGGAAACTCATGACTGGACCATAGGGAGATTACTGATGCCATAGACAGGAGTGTCAATTGGTAAAGTCAACAACAGGAGTCACTGTGCACTTACTCCTCATGTAGGATCTCTGTCCTTAATGTGCTGTGCATTGAGATTTAATGCTATAACGAGTACTCAAACAGTATATTTCACTTTGTGTTTCTATGGGGGTGCAAACTGTTGAAATCTTTACTTAATGTATACTAAACTGATCCTCTGTAAAAAAAAAAAAAAAGAAATTATCAACTCCCAACTTGACTCTCACTGGGATTAAACATGACAATAGGTCTGATCTGATTTCATCATCATTTAAAAAAAATCATCTATTATTTTTCACTTTATGTTTCTGTGTGGGAGCAAACTGTTGAAATCCTTACTTAATGTATACTAAGCTGATCTTCTGTATATTAAGATAATCGAAAATGAATCTTGATGTGAATGGAAGGGGAGAGGGAGTGGGAAAGGGGAGGGTTGTGGGTGGGAGGGACGTTATGGGGGGAAGCCATTGTAATCCATAAATCGTACTTTGGAAATTTATATTCATTAAATAAAAGTTAAAAAAATATTTATTTATTTATTTGAAAGTAACAGAGAAAGACAACCCTATAACTTAACTACATTGTAATAAACTTTAATCCTGGAAACACCAATTTTTAAAAAATCTAGAAAGACCAACATTTAGAATTCAAGAAATTTCCTTACAACATTATTGGATAAAAAGATTAGCTATTATGCAAAATGAGCCCATTTTTTTCTATTTTATGAAGGAAAGCTTATGAGCATAGTGCCAAATGTATACAGTGAAAAACACAGCAGTCTCTAAGAAAACAGGACAAGCAGTGGCATATGAATATGCCACACATCATAAGCAACAACTTCTGTTTAAGTGCTTCACACAGAAATGAAGAACCAAGCCAGAGTCTGATATAACTAGAGAAAGAACACAATTAAAGGGACCAAAAATCCACTAGGTTAACAAAGGCCTGATTTGCTAGGAATCACCCTGATGGGAGGATCTAAAATTCTTTTTAACTGGTTTGCTCTTCAAAATAACAAAAATTTTAAGATTGTTGATACTGGCTTAGGAATTAATTGTCCAAGATACTCATGTTTAACGTATTTTTTATCCAAGAACTGTTGAGGAGGAAGATGTATTTCATGGAAGTTCAAAGTGATTACTGTACCTAAGACACTCGCCATGAATTCTAGTCAATGAAATGTATTTGTGCTGCATGTTATAGACTTTAGTTTCAGCATTACAGCTCATGGAAATTTTGGTGCATTCTGCTTCATTTCTGAATTTAAAAATTTTGAAAATTCTCCAAAATATCAAAGATGGTACTTCCTCATTTTATGCTTTTATTTCTATCCACATTTCACTATCTAATATGTTTATTAACCTGTATGGAAGCAATAAGAGAAACACGTAAAATATGTCACTTTCTGTCATTGTCACCTGGATTTTTTAGTAACCATCCAGATTTACAGGACTTGACGATGCAGGTCTCTAGTAACAGCAAGGAGGCTTCCCCTCTGTGCTCTAAGCTATTTTTTCTCTCATTGCTTTTATAATTATTTTTTCCATAGACAATAACTTTTAAAGTATTCACAGATCATTAAAACTTTAATAGTATAACATTCTTAACCATTGGGTTCACAAAGGTGTAAAACAAAGCTTTAGAAAACTATGTTGCCAGGCCAGTGCTGTGTCCCTGGCCCCTGCACCCACGTAGGAAGCCCAGAAGAAGCTCCTGGCTCCTAGCTTCGGATCAGTGCAGCTCCAGCCATTGTGGCCATCTGGGGAGTGAATCAGAGGATGGAAGACCTCTCTCTTTGTCTTTACCTCTCTCTGTAACTCTGTCTTTCAAATAAATAAAGTAAATCTTAATTTAAAAAAAAAACTACGTTTCCAGCAATATTTGTCCCTTTAGATCCTGGGATATTTGATATTCAGAAAAGAAATACATGCTCACTAAAATATATCCATCCAAGTTTGCCACACCTCAAAAGAAGAGGGAATGTCATGAATTGTTAGTGAGAGATACTGAAAAATAAGCTTCCCTCATTTTACAGTCACTAAGCATATAATTTCATAGACAGAAGGCATGAAGTAATTAAGTGTTCTGGCCCCATTATCTACTGATAATGGGAATAAAACTTCAAAAGGTTAAATGATTCAGACAAAGTACACAGAGTGGCTTTTCCTAGCATTTTATGGCACTAACAGAAAACACACATTCTATAACACTGAATCATATACATTACCAGAGAAAATAACCAAATTAATCACAGAAATGAGCAGTGTGACTTTGTCAAAATACTCCAATGCCTTCAGGGTGAGGAGCGTGAAGAGAGGCTTTATCTACCCTTACCTATAAGAGGATATCTGTAGATTTTTACATACCTATAAAACTGTAAGTACTCCAGAATGTAGCATCCTAATTTAGAGACAAACATTGAACTTCTGGTGGTGGTTTATGATACTTATAAAAGTCTAATTCACCAGAAATACTTGTGTAAGCATAAAAGTTACATGAAAGTGTATGTAAGTGTTTAAAAAATCTTTAAAACAGTCATGTTGGAACACAAAGTACCATATACTTTAACTGAATCAGATAAAGTTGTACAATAGACAAGGCACAATAAACAGACTCACTATGCTTGTAATATGTTTCACAACACTCAAGGCCAGGTACATGCTAATATTCACTCTCAAACAATGGTTCCTTCCCACGGTATGCTCACCGGATCCCACATATTCATATTTTAATATGTAATCAATACAATTCACACAAGATGATCCAAGTAGTTGGTTTCCTGAACCCGCATAAGGGACTCAGATGAAGTTTCTGGCTCCTGATTTAGGTCTAGCGCAGTCCTGGCCAAGGTGGCCAATTGTGGAGTGAAACAGTTGATTAAAGCTCACTCTTGCTCGTGCTCTCTCTCTTCCTCTCTCTCTCCCTCCCTCCCTTCTCCCATATCTCCCTCCTCCCTCTTCCAAAACTCTGCTTTTCAAATAAATAATTGAATCTTTAAAAAATAAATAACTGTAATTTATTGTTAATCCAATCAAAATGGCTAGGGCTTATTAAAATTTTTTTAAAAATCTTTATCTTATTCTGGTTCAGAAAGTCATAGAGTATTCAGTTAAATTATTTGCCCAGGTTAAAGGTCACTGGGAAGAATTAAATAATAAAAACTATGAAGATTTTTTTAACTGTAATTTAGAGAGCAACATCATTGTGTACATAAGCTTTTTCTAGGTAGAAAATCACAATGGATCAGGTAATTGACACAGGGAAATAGTAGAGTATCAGCAAGGGAACCTCTCTGTATTTTACAAGTTAAACTTTTCACCAAGGCCAGAAACTACTTGTAATGAGACTACCTCATTCTTTTTAAAATCTACTTTAATGTATTGGAAAGTCAGAGAGAGGGAGAGAGAGGGAGAGGGGGAGAGAAAGAGACAAACTCTGCTGGTTCTCTAAAACTACCCACAATAAGCATGACTAGGCCAGGCAAAGGCCAGAAGCTGGGAACCTAAAGGTACATCTCTCACAGGAGCGTGAGAGAAACAAGTACTTGAGCCATCACCTGCTTTCCAGGGTATGCATTACTGGAAGACAGAACTGGAGCAGCACTTGGACATAAAGCCTGGAACTGTGATATGGAATGTTAGTATCCCAAGTGGTGTCTTAATGACCATGACAAATGTCCATCTTATCCTACCTCATTCTTAAATCTACACATATTTTGCTGCAGTACTTCATTTTGATGTTTTGTCCCTATGTGAGGGAGAACAACAAATAATTTCTTTTTTTTTTAATTTTTTTTTGACAGGTAGAGTTATAGACAGGGAGAGGGAGAGACAGAGAGAAAAGTCTTCCTTCGACTGGTTCACTCCCCAAACGGCCGCCTCAGCCAGTGCTACGCTGATCCGAAGCCAGGAGCCAGGTGCTTCCTCCTGGTCTCCCATGTGGGTGGAGGGCCCAAGGACTTGGGCCATCCTCCACTGCCTTCCCGGGCCACAGCAGAGAGCTGGACTGGAAGAGGAGCAGCTGGGACTAGAACCCAGGGCCCATATGGGATTCTGGCGCCACAGGCGGAGGATTAGCCAAGTGAGACATGGTGCCGGCCTGTGTAATAGGTTTTTAAAAATGTTATTGAACACCATATCTAGAATTGTTTGCCTCTTTCAAGAAAATGATTAGCTATATGATACAACAGCTTCTAAGATTTTGTCTAATAAGCAGTTAACATGTTTTTAATTAAGCATTAAATTATGATCTTTTGATACATATATACACACCTACATATATTATATACATATATATAAATATCTGGTATGGAAAGTCATTTTGATTGGTATATGCTATGCTACACACAAAAATATGAAATCAGAAGTTTATATTTTTACATACCTGCTTATTTTTACTTCCATCAAGCCATTCTTGTTCTTCCTTGGGTGTTGTTTTAATGTCATTATTTGTTGGAGAAGACTTGACATTTTTTAATTCAAGTTCTGTGCTTTTATATTGATTAGTATTGCAGTGAGGAAGGAAATGCCTCTTGAGATGTTTTGGTATTGGTTTTAACTTGATTCTGCCTGTAACTACAAAACACTAGACTTTATTATTTGAATCACATGCTTCAATTGTTTAGTTTGGGTAAGCCACAAGTCCAAAATGTTTTCTGGGCCACTGAGGTGAGGCACATATCCAGGGTCTAATCCAATTAGTGATATTTTGTTTAATATTTTTTTGGCATTTACACAGGTAACTCTAGTGTCCCTTACAGATCTATATTTCCACTTAAATATGTTAATTATCAGTGAGAGGAAAGCTACAATCTTAAAAAATAGCAAATAACTTACTTTATCAATCGAAAGCTTAAGCTTAATCTTTCATTGAATATTTAATTCTTTAAGAAATACCTCTGACTTCCAAATTATCAGCAAACAACTTGAGGAGACAGCAGATATCTTCCTGTGTACTAAATATAATCATGTAACCCACTCAGAAGTTTATGCTAAATACCAGCCCACACAAAATTATCTACACTCTTGTCTCTATTGTTTATATGTGAACTCGAGCTCAAGAATAAAAATGATTTTCTGAATTATATCCTGTTGACTTTAGGTGGCATAAGAGGAGTAATCCAAAAGTGAACCCTGGAACAAAATGATGTTTGAAAGTCACACTATGAAATTATGCAGTCACACAGAAGTGCTCCAGGGTTAAATTCTGTGCTCTGATTTCCTCAGCTATTACTTTTATCTGTCCATGAGATTCTATGGATATTGATGGATTTTTGGTCACAGAGTTAATAAAACAGTTATGTATCATCAATTGTCAAATTTGTATATCTTTGACACCTCTTATTACTGAGAATCAAAGGATAATCAAACTAGTAGGCAGCTGGGGGCAGAATCACAGTCTGAAAAACTTAAAAGTTATTTTTTCAACCATAAGAATGAAAATAATACAAATAAGATTAACATATACAAATGCATTAATTAAAAATTAGTTTAGTTCCAATATAGAAGCAAAGTACACAGAATCTCAGAATGCTCTAACTGGTATTTATCTGAAATATTTTTATCATTTTGATAAAAGATAAACTATCATATTTAAATATTTTAAGACAAGTCTAGAACAAAATCAGAAAAACAGAAAAAATTGTTATAGAATGCTATTATTTAATAAATATAAATTTTTAAATACAACTTTTGGATGATAGTGGTTCTTCCCCCCATAACTTCCCTCCCACTTGCAACCATCCCATTTCCTACTCCCTGTCCCATCCTATTCTTTATTAAGATTTATTTTTAATTATCTTTATATATAGAAGATCAACTCTATACTGAGTAAAGATTTCAACAGTTTGTACCCACACAGACACACAAAGTATAAAGTACTGTTTGAAGACTAGTTTCACCATTAATTCTCATAGTACAACACAGTAAGGACAGACGTCCTACAAGGGGAGCAAGTACACAGTGACTGCTGTTCTTGATTTAACAATTGACACTCTTATTTATGATGTTAGTGATCACCTGAGGCTCTTGTCATGAGCCGCCAAGGCTATGGAAGCCTCTTGAGTCCACAAACTCTGACATTATTTAGATAAGGCCATAGTCAAAGTGGAAGTTCTTTCCCACCCTCAGAGAAAGGTATCTCCTTCGTTGATGGGTCGTTCTTTCCACTGGGATCTCACTCACGGAGATCTTTCATTTAGGTCATTTTTTGCCAGTGTCTTGGCTTTCAGTGCCTGAAATACTCTCATGGACTTTTTAGCCAGATCCAAATACCTTAAGGGCTGATTCTGAGGCCAGAGTGCTGTTTAGGGCATCTGCATTCTATGAATCTGCTGTGTATCCTGCTTCCCATGTTAGGGCATCTGCCATTCTATGAATCTGCTCTGTATCCCACTTCCCGTGTTGGAGTGTTCTCTCCTTTTTAATTCTATCAATTATTATTAGCAGACACATATTATTTATGTGATCCCTTTGACACTTAATCCTATCTTTATTATCAAATATGAACTTAAACTAGTTAAACTTAAACACTTTAACTAGTAAGATAGCATTGGTACCTGTGAACTTAATGGGATTTGGAGTCCCATGGCAAGATTTTAGCTTTACCCTTTAGGAGTAAGTCCGAGGGATCATGTGCCAAACTGTACATCTCCTCCCTAAATTATTCCCACTCTTATTTTTAACAGAAGTCAATTTTCAATTGCATTTAAACACCTAAGAATAACTGTGTATTAAGTAAAGAGTTCAACCAATGGTATTAAGTAGAAAAAGAAAATATTAAAGAGAATAAAATAGTAAGCTGTTCCTCGATAGTCAGGACAAAGGTTGATCAAGTCATTGCTTCTTGTGTCAGTTTCACTTTTACAGGTTTCCTTTTAAGTGCTCAGTTAGTTGTCACAGATCAGGGACATATGATATTTTTCCCTTTGGTACTGGCTTATTTCACTCAGCATAATATTTTCCAGATTACTCCATTTTGTTGCAAATGACCAGATTTCATTTTTTACCACTGTGTATTATTCCATAGAGTACGTATTTCATAATTTATCTATCCAGTCTTCTGTTCATGGGCATTTAGGTTGATTCCATGTCTTCGTTATTGTGAATGAGCACAATTAACTTTGAGGTACAGATAGCTTTTTTATTTGCCAATTTAATTTCTCTTGGGTAAATTCTGAGGAATGGGATGGCTGGGTCGTGTGGTAGGGTTATATTCAGAAGAAATAAAACTTTAAAGGTGATTCCATCACCAGGGACTGCATTAACATTTGGGTAAGACTACAAAGGGTTTCAAGTAGTAATTCTAAATTCTGATCCAAGTTCGTATGTTCAGGTGCCAAAAAATCCAATCAAATAATTTTAGGTGTTAATTGCAATTTTCAATCCATTCTCTTAAAAGTGCAGAATCAACTTTTTCAGAGAGATATGCCATAAATACTATTAGTTGTAACAGTTAATGGGTCATGGATATTGGAATGTAGGACTCTGCATGCTTGTACTTAATTTTCCCAGTTTTCATATCTAATAAACTAACTATGAACAGAGCAGTCCACTAAGTAAAGGATCTCCAAATACTCACAAGGATTTTAATGGTAAAAAGAACCCTAAGATGAGAATGTTTAAGAGTTCTAATTTACAATTAAATTATTTGGGGACACTAAATCAGTTCTTAAAGAAAATTTAAAGTATATATTTTATTCTATATTGACACATCATTGTGGCATAGAATATGTTGTTTCCATATGTGTATTGTATTATACAATGTATAATGATCAGATTAGATCATTATTAGCATACCAGTCACTTCAAATATTTATTCTTTGGGAAAATTCCAAATCTTATTAACTATTTTGAGATTGCAGTTCCTCTTCTGTGCTTTAAAATGATTAAGTATTGTCTCTGTTCTCTGTAATCACACACACACACAAATGAGAGTATGCTAATCAGAACATCACTAGGATGGAACAATTAAAACAAATGAAATTTAGGAATAATGTTCCAATTTAGGTAAAGATCAGAATTCTATGACATTTTAAACCATTAAAATTTTAATATCTTAATTAACTTATGTCAATCCTAATAAAAGATAGGAATTTTAAACTAGGCACTTCAGGGTATCAAAAAATGAAAGGTATTTTTTAGCATCTCAGTTAAAGGTTACAGTCTCTAGATGAGAAATATATTTTTTTCAGACATGAATCTGAAAATGATATCTGCATTATTTGTGTCAAAACCTTTTATCAAATATGCAGACAAAAATAATTTTTAGAATGAAGATTGAAGGCATTTCAAATACTGTGTTTCTTTCCAGATAACATTTGTACTGCAAAATTACCTTGTCTGCATGTTTGTACTTCATTCATTCCCACTGATGTTGCCCAAAAAGGATGTATTGCTTCCAGACGAGGCTGAAGGAGTTTTGAAACAAGATAGTTAACAATGCATATTTCATATAATATGTATTTAATTAGAGAAAAATGTAAAATACACATTATTACCAGCTATTGAGAATATTCAAGACAAAAATGTAAACGTTATTACCGTCAATTCAGTGGATCCCTTAGCAAACTCTAAAAAGCAAAAGAGATATACAGTCAATTATATGTAAATATGACAAGGCCAACAATATATGGTGCAGGTTTAGCATTGCGCTAAGTCCACATGTGTGGCTATGGAAATGATTACTGTAGGTTTGGGGGAAGCGGTTTATATTTGGGGTGCTAGGAAAACAACATGCAAGATAGAAGTATATATAAAAACATACAAACCAGAGTTCTATCAAAAATAAGTTCCTAGTATTACACAGCATAGTTGAGCAACTATATCACAGTAACCTATCTTACAATGAAATAAAAGGAGTACCAAGCTTTAATAATATCATGTGAAAGAAAAGAACATGCCAATTACCCTGATCTCATCAAGATATGTTGTATACATATAATGAAATGTCACACTGAATTCCATAAACATATATAATAATTTTTAATAAAAATAAAAATAAAAAATCAAATAAAATTCAACAAAATAGACCTATGGGTTTAATAAAACACGCCACTAAGATTTCAAAACGTATGACAATGTCTCAAAAAGTATGACTGTTAATTAAGCAAAAAGGTACCCATATGCCAAAGTGAGCATGCTGAGTACTGGGGACAAATGTGATCTTTAATCAAAGGAACAAATCATGACCATGAGAGTCTAAGTGAGAAAGCTGATGGTCGAATGTGACAGCATACCTTTACTGTACACATCAGAATCATTTATTCTATTGTGCTACAATCGTTTTTCGGTGTCTCCTGTATTTTGGAAGCGTACAGTTGTGATGAAAGATGAATATATAATTCATTTCTTAGCAGAGAAAGTGGTCTGACCTCATCAATTGGTTTATATACTTGGCTTTAGATAGTAACACATAGTCACAGTTTTCTATAATTATGAGGACTACTGGTTTGTGTACATTTCTTTCCTCCTCTAGTTTAGCTTTGAAAGATTTTACTTATTTATCTGAAAGACGGAAGAAGATAGATGAGAGAGATAGAGAAATATCTTCCATCTACTCTTCAAATGCCCACAAAAGCCATGGCAACATCAAATGGAGGGGTCGGCACTGTGGTGTAGCAGGTAAATCAGCTGCCTGCTATGCCGGCATCCCATATAGGCACCAGTTTGAGACCCGGCTTCTCCCCTTCCAAACCAACTCTCTGCTGTGGCTTGGGAAAGCAGTAGAAGATGGCCCAAGTCCTTGGGCCCCTGCACCCACTTGGGAGACCCAGAAGAAGAAGCTCCTGGTTCCTGACTTCAGATCAGCTCAGCTCCGGCTTTTGTGGCTATTTGGGGAGTAAACCAGTAGATGGAAGACTTATCTTTCTCTTTCTCTCTCTCTCTCTCTCTGTGCATCTCCTTCTCTGTGTAACTCTTTCAAATAAATAAATAAATTTTAAAAAAAATCAAGTGGAAGCTAGGAGACTGGATTGCCTTCCAGCTCTCACACAAGTGTTGCAGAATCTCAAGTACTTGGGTCCATCATCCACTGCTTCCCAGGCAGTTTTTCAGGAGGATGAACCTTAAGTGTGGCACCCGAACATGGAATACAGGCATCCCAACAGGTGGCTTAACCTACAGTCCCACAGTGCCTAGCCCTAGTTAGATGTCTTAAAGATTTTATCCCCTGATTCAAGAAGGTACATAGAACATATATAAGTAATTGCATATAATATGCTTTTGACACAGAAACCTAGTCATCAAAAAGAATAAATTCACTAAGCTGCCAGAGAATTATTAATATCACTTTTTATTCTAAATCAATGCAATATTTACTGAAAAATTCTGGTATTGAAGGAATGAAGTCTATGATATCTTGTTTCCAAAACACATTTATTCTAGCATAGTATGCTAACTTTAATTTTGTGAAACTACTTTATAAAAAATTTAGCTATAAGATAAGCCAATGATTCAGTATTCAAATTTTTTCTCATTTAAATAGCATCCATGCAATTTATATCACTAGTGCTTTAGAATTAAATGAAGTTCAAATGAGTGGCTGCAATACCAGCACACCATCCTGTTTTTGGTAATCTCTGGAGCAGCAATAACCTAATGTGTTTAAATGTGAACATACAGAAGGCATCTGAAGTGAATATTCTCATGTTTCCTCATTAGTAACTCTAAATTTACCAGGTTCACTTCATTCTCTCTTCTTCCCTCTTCAGAATCATCCCTCCTTATCAAAAGTAATCTCTGGATCTGTGCTCTGGATTCTTCGCCTTACCATTAATTTTAGGGACTATCCACACCACTTATTTTCCCATTTATCGCTACAATTTACAGTTCTAACTTCTATTTCAACCTCCCTTCAACTCTCCTTGCCTTCCCCAGAGCCTCTCAAACTTTACTCCTTCTTGGCTTCCTTCTTTCCTCTCATTCCTGTTTCCAATTTCTCCCTCTCCTCTCCTCTCTTCCCCTCCCCTTCCCTCACCTCTCTTCCCCTCCCCTCTCCTTCCCTCTCCTCCCCCTTCTTCCCCTCCCCTTCCCTCTCCTCCCCCTTCTTCCCCTCCCCTTCCCTCTCATCTCTTCCCCTCCCCTCTCCTTCCCTCTCCTCCCCCTTCTTTGCCTCCCCTCCCCTCTCCTCACCTTCCCTCTCCTCTCTCTCTCCCCTCCCCCACTCTCCTCTCCTCTCCTTTACTTATCTCCACTCACTTCCCTCCCTCCATCCCTTCCTCCCTCCTTCCCTCCCTCCCTCCCTCCCTCTTTCCTTCCTTCCTTTCTTCCTTCCTTCCTTCCTTCCTTCCTTCCTTCCTTTCTTCCTCCCCTTTCATCCTCTGGATAGGAACATGCTGAGAAATAAAAACAAAAAATACTCTCCCTCTATCCTTTTAGTTCTTGAATACTTCTCCCAAGGTCCTTCTTTCAAATATCTCTGAAGGGAAACATATAACCCTAAAGCTCACCAGGGATCGTGATGAAAATGCAGAATCCCACATTTAAGGAAACAAAATGTGCATGCTGAATAAGGTCCCCAGAGATTCTTAAGTTTAAGAAGTTCTAGTCTTTACAAAGCTTCCTTATATATTCCTTTTCCTTAACTCCCCTTTCTGGAATGTAGCCTTAAGTTCATCCCTGCCACATCCCCCAAATTTAAATGGCATAAGATGTCATGGTTTAATGGGCTTTTTCTCAGGCAGTTAATTTTATTTCACCCTTTTCCCCATTCTAATTTCATTTAAAAAGACTAAAATTACCAAGTAATGAAATGACAAGTCAACCAGAAGAACAATAGAACATTCAGAAATACATGGAGATGGGCAAAGGACATGAATGGACAGTTCTCAAAAGAAGAAATACAAATAGTCAATACACACACACACACACACACACACATAAATATATATAATACTTAATATTACTAGCCATTAGGAAAATGCAATGAGAAAATTACCATGAGATATCACCTCAGCCCTCAGAATGGGGGCTCTCCCTCATTCTGAATCCTCATTCCCTGACTTTATTCTGATTGTAGGTTATCCTGAAATGGAGCTAATACTTCAGCTCCTCTGGGGCACTCACAATTTAATGCATTGCTAACTAGTGACACAATACACAGCTTACCACTCTCATTTATCTTTTCCTTACTATGCATTTAATACACAACTTTCTTCAGCTATTGGTATACATCAATATTCATGTCTTAGATAAACATCTGTCAACTGGCTTTAAAAACTACAGTTCTTACCTTCCAGTGGTTCATTCATATCTTTTCCTTTTGCATCTGCTGCCATTGATTGATTAATGGATTCCTTCCAAGAATTTGTAGAAATAGTCTATTAAAGTTAATGCCAATAATGAGTTGCATACACTTCCCAACAATGTTCTAAAAGAATCTCATTTTCCACTTTCTAAAGAGTTCCACTTTATAAAGGCAAAAATAAGATCAGCATGTTTTATACAAATTCTCAAGATCAGGCCTAACTTTGAGTTTCATGTTACTGATTCTATAAATGCAGCATGGAGGTTCAGAGGAACAATAACTTATGATACTAATAACATATTTTAGCTACAAACTAACTCAAAAAGTCAACTCTGCATTGTATTCCCCAATAAAATAAGAAGACAAACTAGAAAAACACATTGAAAAATTGTAGTGTTATAATACAGAGTTAAACACATGAACAATTTCTAGGTTTTGTCTTAACATTCTAAACATAAGAAACTTCAAAGTATGCCATACTGAGTATAAACAGAACATCTCAGAAGCTGTACATTTACATACACAGTGGTTTAGAAATGCTAAGTTTTCTTTTTATTTACTTATTTGACAGGTCAAGAAATACAGAGAAAGAAAAATATAACACGGAGAGAAAAAGAGAGAAAGAGACAGACAGGCTAGGGAGTATATCAGTTCACTGGCTCTGTCTCCAAATGCCACCACTTGTCAGCCATGGGCCACACCAAAGCTGAGAGCCAAGAACTCAGTCCCAGTCTCTGATGTGGATGGCAAGAACACAATTACATTAGCTTAGACCCGTTGCTTACAGGGATGCACATTAGTTGGAAGCTGGATTTGGAATTAAGACATTAACCCAGGTACTAAGATGTAGGCTGCCAGAATCCCAACTGAGCTCTTAAATGCTAGGCAGAATTCCTGTCCTAAATATTATTTAATACAATGTTTAAACACGTGAAGATGGTTTGAATGAAATAGCAGGAGAGTAAGTAAAATTTTCCTTTATGTTATGCTTCGTAACAGTATGCAAAAACCTGTATTAGTATGCAACTCATTGAAAGAAAGAAATACTGTGAAGATTGTACTGTAAGCTTTAATAAGAATAAGCGTATTTTTCTGCTTCAGCTTCTAACATGTGTCTGACACTCATTTGCATCATTTATTTTCTACACACAATAACATATTAAAAAAAGATTGAGGGTGATGGTTAGTCCACTACCTGCATCTTGCTAATTTCTGGAAGTGAAGAATAAAATAATAAACAGAGGTGATCCACTAATCTTTCTGTCCATAATGTCCTCCTTCTAGACATTCAGAGCAAATGTACATTCTCATTCTTATGCTGGGCAGCATCAAATCAGTAGCCCTATTTTTTCCCTCTGCCTACAGAATTCCACCATACAAACCATTCCAACACGAAGCACAGACACCCTCAATATCTCTATTCAACAGTCTCTCATTACTTTTTATGAGGCATTTAGAGGTAACTGTTAGTGCTTGTTACCTTGATTTTCTGTTCCAACCATAAGAGAAGTAGCCCAAACCTGTAAAGTCAGTGCCTAACTGCCCTACCACATAGTTGGAACTCACCAACAAAATTTATTTAAGGTGTCAATTAAAATATTACCAGAAAGGCCTCAAGTATAAAGTTACTATATTCCTATAGAAAATTTCCAAAAGAAATCATCCCTGAATTAGAAAAAGTTCCAAGGTAGTTAGTATTCATATATTTGGTCACTGGTAGAGTGGAAATATTCTTTTTCTTAGAAAAGATTATTCTTAAAACTCAACAAATTCCTTGTGATACCTAAACCTTTCTTTTTCACTGCATGGTACTGGATTTATGAAAGAAACCTTGAGTTTACACAGCTGTAAAGTACTTAGCACATAGTTGAATTACTCATGGGATGGGGAAATGTGAGGAACTAATTCCTTATAGGTATGCACTAAAGAGAGAAAGAAAGGGGAAACAGTCTCTTTGCAAGTGGTTGGTCAAATGGTGAAGAAGCTAAGTCTAAAGGATTATGTCTGATGTGAGAGTGCCTGGGCTTAAGTCTAGGCTCCAGCTCAGAAATCTAGCTTCCTACAAATGTGGGCAGAGTGAGGCAGTTGGTGGTGACTCAAGTACTTAAGTTCTAGCCATCCACATGGGAGACTGGAACTGAGTTTCCAGTTCCTGTATCTCAGCTTCAACGAGGTTATGTTCCTGGAGTTGCAGGCACACATAGGGATTGACCTATAGGACCCAAGAGAGTTCTGCGTGTCTCAACTGGCATGTGAGTAGGTATCTATCTGTGTTATCTCTGTGTCTGCCTTTTGTGTCAATATCTTCAACAAGGTACAAAAAGCCTTAAGGAAAAGATATAAACTATAATAGGTGTTTAGCTTCTAAACTGTGCCAGACTAGGGGGAGCAATTTGACAGGGTAAGCTGTTCCTGGGGACACTGGCATCCCATAGAGTAGTGCCTAACCTACTATATTCGTACTCCAGATTCTAGATCATGTGCATGCTGCGAGGCAGGTATGGCTTATATACATGAGTCCCCTGCCAACCCTGCGGAGGGTCCACCAAATACCAAACTCCTAGATAGAACCTGCCCAGTCCTGAATGTTTCAAGTATTTGTGCAGTAAATCATTGCACTGAAGATCTCTCTGTTGGTTTGCCACTAAAATAAGTGAAAATAAGTAACATTAAAACATGCCAGGCACTTATTTTCACATTTTCTTTATTAAACTGATCACATAACAATGGCTGCAATTATGGTTGTCCCACTTTAAAGTTTTGCTAATACCCAACTATAACAACCAAATGATAAAAATGAGACCCACTAGTTTTCTGCCCAGAATATTCTAATCCTAGACTTTCACACACATGATTCCATCTCATCCGTTCGTTGGCAGCACATAGTTACATTCAGAAAGGTTTTCTCTGACTAAGGAATTCCAAAATCAACTCCCACTACTATGCTAAGGAAAAAAAAAATCAGATTTAAATATATTTGCTCAGTACACATAACTGAGGTAAATGTTGGTACCATTTTCCTAAATGTGGTAACACACAAATAGCTTATATCTTTATTTTTAAGGCAAGATAGATAGTAACTTATAGATCAGCATAAGAGTATGGCTTATAACTTAGTGAAATGCCTGACCCCAAGGCAGCAGCTGTTCAAACCTAAGAACTTAGGCTTGTTTTCACTCACTGTCCAGCCGTCACCATAGAAAACACAATTTTATATGTATGTAATGACTAACATTGCTGCCATAAAAGTAATCAAGACATTTTCTTTTCTTTTTTTTAATAAAGATCTTATTCACTTATTTGAGAAGCAGAGTTACAGATAGGATGAGAGACAGAGAGAAAGGTCTTCCATATGCTGTTTCACTCCCCAGATGCCCACAATGATTGGTGCTGGGCTGACCAGAAGCCAGGAGCCAAGAGCTTCTGCACAGTCTCCTATGTAGGTATAGAGCCCAAGCACTTGGGCCATTGTCTACTGTTTCCCAACGCTATAGCAGAGAGATGGATTAGAAGAGGAGCATCTGGGTCTCAAACAAGTGCCCATATGGGATGCTGACACCGGAGGTGGAGGCTCAGCCTACTATGCCACAGCACTCAATCTGGGGGAATTTTAATTTCAAAATTGTTTTTTTATGTTATTTTTATTTAGTAAATATAAATTTCCAAAGTACAGTTAATGGATTACAATGGGTTCCCCCCCATAATTTCCCTTGCACTCACACCCCTCCCATCTCCCGCTCCCTCTCCCCTTCCATTGACATCAAGATTCATTTTCAATTATCTTTATATACTGAAGATCAATTTAGTATAAATTAAGTAAAAATTTCATCAGTTTGCACCCACACAGCAACACAAATTGTAAAATACTGTTTCAGTACTAGTTATAGCATTACTTCACATTGGACAACACACTAAGGACAGATCCCACATGAGAAGTAAGTACACAGTGACTCCTGTTGTTGACTTAACAATTTGACACTCTTTATGGCGTCAGTAATCTCCCTAGGCTCTAGTCATGAGTTGCCAAGGCTATGGAAGCCTTTTGAGTTCGCCAACTTCGATCTTATTCCAACAGGGTCATAGTCAAAGTGGAAGTTCTCCTTCTTTGATGGCCCTGTTCTTTCCACTGGGATCTCACTCGCAGAGATCTTCCATTTAGGTCTTCTCTTTTTTTTTTCCAGGGTGTTTTGGCTTTCCATGCCTAAAATACTCTCATGGGCTCTTCAGCCAGATCTGAATGCCTTAAGGGCTGATTCTGAGGCCAGAGTGCTGTTTAGGACATCTGCCATTCTGTGAGTCTGCTGTGTATCCTGCTTCCCATGATGGATCATTCTCTCCCTTTTTGATTCTATCAGTTAGTATTAGCAGACACTAGTCTTGTTTGTGTGATCCCTTTGACTCTTAGACCTGAATATAACCCTACCATTCAACCCAGCCATCCCACTCCTTGGAATTTACCCAAAGGAAATTAAATTGGCAAACAAAAAAGCTGTCTGCACATTAATGTTTATTGCAGCTCAATTCACAATAGCTAAAACCTGGAACCAACCCAAATGCCCATCAACAGTAGACTGGATAAAGAAATTATGGGACATGTACTCTATAGAATACTATACAGCAGTCAAAAACAACGAAATCTGGTCATTTGCAACAAGACGGAGGAATCTGGAAAACATCATGCTGAGTGAATTAAGCCAGTCCCAAAGAGGACAAATATCATATGTTCTCCCTGATCGGCGACAACTAACTGAGCACCAAAGGGGAAACCTGTTGAAGTGAAATGGACACTATGAGAAACAGTGACTTGATCAGCTCTTGTCCTGACTGTTGATGTACAATGTAATACTTTATCCATTTTAGTATTTTCTCTTTGTTTTGTTCTAGTACCATTGGTTGAACTCTGTGATTAACACACAATTATTCTTAGGTGTTTAAATTTTAACTGGAAAGTGATCCCCGTTAAATATAAGAGTGGGAATAAGAGAGGGAGGAGATGTACAATTTGGGACATGCTCAATCTGACTTGCCCCAAATGGTGGAGTTAGAATCATGCCAGGGGATCCCAATACAATCCCATCAAGGTGGTATGTACCAATGCCATCTCACTAGTCCAAGTGATCAATTTCAGTTCAAAATGGTTTTTATTTAAAGGCCCCCACTTATCCAAAATCTTATTGCTATAATCTAACATTTTTATATTCTCCACGTTTCCCCTTCACTGAAATATTCTTTACAGATTGACAATTGACAATACAAATATAATAATGATGATTTGAGGGCCGGTGACATGGCTCAATAGGCTAATCCTCCACCTGCAGCGCCGGCACTCCGGGTTCTAGTCCCGGTCGGGGCGCCGGATTCTGTCCCGGTTGCCCCTCTTCCAGGCCAGCTCTCTGCTATGGCCCGGGAGTGCAGTGGAGGATGGCCCAAGTCCTTGGGCCCTGCACCCGCATGGGAGACCAGGAAAAGCGCCTGGCTCCTGGCTTCGGATCAGCGCAATGCGCCAGCAACAGCGCGCTGGCCACGCCGGCCACTGGAGGGTGAACCAACGGCAAAAGAAGACCTTTCTCTCTGTCTCTCTCTCACTGTCCACTCTGCCTGTCAAAAAAAAAAAATAATGATGATTTGAAGTGTCAGGTATTGATTTGTGAGTTCCAAACTGTGAAAACCCACAGATAAAACAGTTCCTTTTCAAAAGCACATTAGGATGATTAGTCATCCTTGTAGCTACCATAGAACCAGACATTTGGCATAAATTGCACTGTGATAAAACCATACATTTTAGCTAAATTTTGGAAACTAATTCCTAATTACTTGTGTTAATTAGGCCTTATGTTTTGAACTGTACTGTACTGGCTGCATTAAATTAGTCATGTAGAGAATTGTCACAGTGCACTAGTGCATCAGGAAAATACTCATCACATGATGAAAATGTAAGGAAATAATTCTAATAGGAACACACAGAGGTGAGAAAGAGACATCAAGTCACTACCATTCGCAGCTATTTGTCATAGTGTCTCAGACACTAATAGAGCACCTGAATACACTATGTCAGTGCCTGGATTCCATTTCTGGTTTTGGATATGGTATTAAAATCCTGTTGGGAAGGCCAAAATTGTGGCAAAGTGGGTAAAGCTGCTGACTGCTATGTTGGCACCCCAGGTGGGCCTCAGTTCATAATTATGCTGTTAGACTTCTGATCCAGTGCCCTGCAAATGGCCTTTGAAAAGTAATGGAAGAAGGCCTTTATGTTTGGGCCCCTGCCACCTACCTAGGAGAACCAGATGAAGCTCCTTTCTTTGGCCTGGCTTAGCCCTGACATTGTGACCACTTGTTGAGTGTGCCAGTGAAAGGAAGTAGTCTTTCTCACTGTATCTCCCTTTCTCTGTATCTAGACTTGGAAACAAATAAGTAAACCTTAAAAATCCTGCTGTGGCTGGTGTGTGGTGCAATACGTGAATCTGCCACTGGCAATGCAGCATCTCATAGTTCCATACTGGAATGTCAGTTTGAGCCCCAACTGTTATTCTCCTAATCCACCTCCTGCCCATGCAACTGGGAAAGCAGCAGAAGAATGGCACAAGTATTTGGTCTACTGTCACCAAAATTTGAGACTTGGCTAGAGCTTTGGGCTCCTGGCTTCAGCCTGGCCCAGCCCTAGCTGCTGTAGCCATTTGGGGAGTCAATTAGTGGGATGGAAGAACTCTTTGTCGCTCAATTCTTTCATCCCTCCATCTCTCCATCTTATCTGTCATTCTGCCTTTCAAATAATAGAATGAATCTCATTAAAAATTTCCAGCTAATACAGACTTAGAAAGGCATGAGGTGATGTCTCAAGCAGTTAGGCCCCTGACAGGGAGACCTGGATGGAGTTTTGAGAACTTAGCTACTGGCTTTGGTTGGGTCTTGTCCCAATCATACCAGAGATTTGGAGAGTAAATTTGTATGTGATAGCTCTGTGGGTTTGCCTTTCATCTCTCTCTGCCTCTTGGTTTCTCAAATAAATGTTTAAAAGACCAGAGAATCAAGAACCATACTCTTCTGTGCTTTAGGTTCTTCTCTATTCAGGATGACCTCCTCCTGCACATTCACAGGGATGGCCCCAACTCTTCCTTTACTTGGCAGTGGCATAGTCACATTCCAAAGAAAAAAAAATCTCTGAATACAGAATTCTACCCCACGTTCCACCTTTAACCTTATGGAAAATCCCCTGAATATTTTGCAGCCCCACATTCTCTGCTAGATTTATATGAAGGGTGGATAACAAATTATCGTGGATTGCTGCTTGCTATGACATTCTAACCATGACAGAAGTAGCCCCTTTTAATATATTCACTGTCTAAAATTCAAGCTTATATTAGGCACAAAACAAAAATAATTATTCATTTTAAAACATTCAAAATATCTCCAGAAGGCCTGAAGGGCCCCGTCACTATATTAACATAGGAAATATAGTAATGATGCAGTAATAAGACTAACATTTCATGCCAAATCAAATTTCTCAGTTTTTTCATGACACTGCCACTGAGTCACACTGGACTTCAGATTTTAAAAAGTCTACTTGCAAACATAAGTAACTGACATCACTGGATGCTTTTTTCTTCATTCTGTATGTATTTCACTGTTTGCATCATGTTTGCTTATTTCTTGCCACGTTATTTTATTGTACTGCCTAAAAGTTAGATATCAATCATTCAGGTGTGGCCACCGGGATTCAAATGACTTATATCACTTTTCACAAGACTCCATTACCAGGGAAAGGCCAGCATGTTAACAAGTCTTAGGACTTCAGTGAAGTCACAGAAATCAGTATGAAGCAACTGCTCAAGTCAGAAAGCAAATCCTATCTCATTTCCAGTTGCCACTATGAACATCACCATTATTAATACTTATGTGGTTATGAATATTGCTAGCATGAAGTTACTCAGTATTTTACATTTAAAATGTCTTATGTTTATCAAAACACAGCTAAATCAAAATGATGAAATCTTTACTTAATATATACTAAATCAATCTTCTGTATATAAAGATAATTGAAAATCAATCTTGACGTGAATGGAATGGGAGAGAAAGCAGGAGATGGGAGGGTTGCAGGTGGGAGGGAAGTTATTGGGGGGGGGGAAGCCCTTGTAATCCATAAACTGTACTTTGGAAATTTATATTTACTAAATAAAAGTTTAAAAAATGCCATATGATCTAGCAATCCCACTTCTGCTTATACACCTAAAGACAGGAAAGCACTGTATTGAGGATATCTGTGCACCACCATATTATAGCTGCACTGTTCATAAAAGCAAAAAGAGGAATCAAAGCGCACTTCTAAAGATGAATGAACAGAAAAAGTGCAGCACAGGTATCCAATGTAATAGTATTCAGTCATTTGAAAGAATGAACTTCTGCCATTTGCAGCAAAATGAATGCAACTGGAGGGCATGATGTGGGGGAAAAGAAGCTGGACGCAGAAAAACAAGTATCTCATGTTTTCCCTTAAAAGAGGCAGCTTAAATCGAAAATGAAGATGAAAAGGCAAATAAGGCAGAAATGCTTGTGTGTTTCGATACTGTTGCAAATGTCGTCTTGATAAGCTTTGTTTTATACCTTTGTCAAGCTCGTGGTTAAGAATATTATGCTACTATAGATTCAATGATCTGGGATTACTTTGAAATTTATTGCAGATAAGTGAAATAGTCCTTTTTTCCATTTCATTATTGTCTTGGCCTTGTCTATATTCCTACTTTACTAGGCATTTTTTTGCTTTTACTTGAAGAACCAAGTATTTACAGGAGCCATGGAATGTAATGTAGATCAAGGACATAAACTCAAAGTAAAGCAGAGAAGGGGTAAAGTGAGAGGAAGCAGGGTGGGAGGCACAGAAGGAGAGGGATGGAGGACAAAGGCACATCATTATACTCTTAGAATTCCATGAGCTCTATGGAGCCTAATAAAACACTAAAAAGATATAGAGAGACTCCAGAAGATATGGATACCATAGTTATCATTGTAATTGTGAAGTCTATTTGTCTTCACAGCTTCTTCAAACAGATGATAATATTAAATGATTTTAAAACTAGCTGCCCTGGCTTCAAGCAAACACCAATTTTGTTTTAACAAGACTGAAATCAGGTATTTCCAAATCACAAGAAGACACACTACCTTCGAATTCCTTGGTGAGTTGCTGTCTTCAGGATCTCTTTGGAAGGTAGACTCCTTACCTACAAATGCAGTAATACATCAACTAGTGAGAACATTTATTCACATGGAAACAATTTAAATAAAGGCGTGTCTCTCTCCACTCATGAATATTGCAATTAAATGAATATTTCAATGAAATAAAAGGAATAGTAAGGATGAATTTCAGAGGGTTGAAGCTGTTTCAGGAAGAAGTTGGTTATAAACAAAACCAAAAGAAAACCCTCAACATACATGGATATCCAATTCAGAGCTACTCATTTCTCTTCATTGTATTTCAATAGTAAGTTTTGATAGATATGCACTCACCATGTTTGTTATCTTTGTCCAATGCGTGATCAGAGTCCAGCCCATATTTATTAATTGGCTGTTGTGGATCAACTTGAGTGATGAAAAAACATTTTTTACTCTTCTTACCCACTAGAGCTGACGTTCCTTCCTACAGAACAATAAAATACAAATTCAACACATATATCCAATTTCTCAACCCCTCAGCTACTCATTCAGTGAGACAGGATTTACTATGGGTATCAAGTCATAGGCCCAGTCCTTGAAAAATCTAAGCATATACACAAGAGGCAGATTCTACCCCATGTTCAGCTAGAGGTAGACATGGGAAAATACAACAGGAAAGTATAAACCACTATTTCTGTCACTGAAGTCAATATAGTTGAAGAAAAGGCAGAAAAGAGAATCCTCAATTCAGTCTTGCAAGGTCAGGAAATACTGCTGATTTCTGGCAGAGAGTTAGAATTGGGTACAAAATAAGGACAGAAAGCATCCGAGGTGTGAGGTAGATAGCTCATCTGACTTCTTCACCACTGGGCCAAGAGTTTAGCTCCTAATTCTTCTTTCCTAGGTTCTAAAGGCAAGAGAGTTGGCTGAAGCGAATGTCAAGACAGCCTCAAAACCTCTCCTTTACGTAGCTTCAGATAAGTAAGGGGAAGCTTGTATTACATGGGTACTAGGTATCCCACTCTCTCCCAGATAAGAAATATCGTCAAGAATATATGAACAAACAACAAATCTAACTCAGAAATGGACACAGCACCTCAACAGACCTGTCTCCAAATAAGAGATAGAAATGGCAATAAATATGACAGTATGTTCAACATCACCATCCACCAGGGAAATGCATATCAATGCCTCAAAGAGATATCACACCACCCCTTCTCAAGATAGCGAAAATGTTTATCTGCCTGTCTTATGTAAGTAGCTGTCTCTCAAGTAACTTTATACCTTCAAGCAAACACCAATTTTGTTTTAACATCACTGAAATCAGGTATTTCCAAATCACAAGAAGACACACTACCTTCGAATTCCTTGGTGAGTTGTTGTCTTCAGGATCACTTTGGGAGGTAGACTCCTTACCTACAAATGCAGTAACAGATCAACTAGTGAGAACATTTATTCACATGGAAACAATTTACATAAAGGCATGTCTCTCTCCACTCATGAATATTGCAATGAAATGAATATTTCAATGAAATAAAAGGACAGTAAGGATGAATTTCAGAGGGTTGAAGCTGTTTCAGGAAGAAGTTTGGTTATATTAAAAAAAAGCCAAAGAAAACCCTCAACATACATGGATATCCAATTCAGAGCTACTCATTTCTCTTCATTGTATTTTAATAGTAAGTTTTGATAGATATGCACTCACTACGTTTGTTATCTTTGTCCAATCCGTGATCAGAGTTCATAATTAGCTGGTGTGGATCAACTTGAGTGATGAAAAAACGTTTTTTACTCTTCTTACCCGCTACAGCTGACGTTCCTGCCTACAGAACAATAAAATACAAATTCAACACATATATCCAATTTCTCAACCCCTCAGCTACTCATTCAGTGAGACAGGATTTACTATGGGTATCAAGTCAAAGGCCCAGTCCTTGAAAAATCTAAGCATATACACAAAGAGCAGATTCTACCCCATGTTCAGCTAGAGGTAGACATGGGAAAATACAACAGGAAAGTATAAACCACTATTTCTGTCACTGAAGTCAATATAGTTGAAGAAAAGGCAGAAAAAAGAATCCTCAATTCAGTCTTGCAAGGTCAGGAAATACTGCTTGATTTCTGGCAGAGAGTTAGAATTGGGTACAAAACGAGGACAGAAAGCCATCCGAGGTGTGAGGTAGATAGCTCATCTGACTTCTTCACCACTGGGCCAAGAGTTTAGCTCCTAATTCTTTTTTCCTAGGTTCTAAAGACAAGAGAGTTGGCTGAAGCGAATGTCAAGACAGCCTCAAAACCTCTCCTTACGTAGCTTCAGATAAGTAAGGGGAAGCTTGTATTACATAGGTACTAGGTATCCCACTCTCTCCCAGATAAGAAATATCGTCAGAATATATGAACAAACAACAAATCTAACTCAGAAATGGACACAGCACCTCAACAGACCTGTCTCAAAAGAAGCCTCTCAGCTTAAAAAACACACATATCCTAAAGCAAGTCACTGAATGCTTCAGTGATATCTTTGCTTTAACTTCTATGCATATTTTAGAGTTTACTGTTTTTGTTTTTTTTTTTACATTGGCTACCACAGATGCTCATTACACCTACGTGGGCATTAAATACTGGCATATTTATGAATGTGGTATATGGCATGCCAAAAGGCTATATCATCTTTCCAACGTACTGTAGCTAAAAGTGACAGTGCAACATACTAATATGTGCTATGACTTAAATAAGTTAGTGATACCACTATACTGCTTAAACCTAAGAGCTCTGAACATAGCTACCTCACTCTCTTGTTGTCACAGTAAGAAAAAACATTTTAACTTATGTTTAGTATGTACATATTTACCAAAAGGATAGTCCAAATTCATCCAATTCTAATTATCTCTATTTATGAAAACACCACCAAAGTGGTTGTCCTCCCGCAAATTTACTACTTCGCATGTTATACCTTGCTCTAAATGTTACTACCTGCGTATCTCAGCTGCTATTCCGAAATGTTAAGAATGCACTGAAACACAGGTATAGGTTTTCAACTTGCAAGTTGTGGAAATAACACATCAATTTTGGTATCTAAAAATCTCATCAGCATGACAAGACATCTATAGATATACTGGAATCAGATGTCTGGTGTTACATTCTAAAAACAATTCTGTTTTTTTGTTGTTGTTGATAAATATAATTTGCAGAGCAAATTTACTTCTTTATATTACCCAGGTCCTATTTATGTGTTTTGAATTATGCTACAATTGTCACACTAAATATGTCAAGTAGAACTGTAGAAGACTACTAAAGTAGCAGGACAATGGTTACAACATAATGCATTACTAATTGTTTGATGAAAACAAAGAAATCAGAGAGTGTATGCACACAGATGAAAAAGAAGAGCCACCCCAGTACTCAGTAGTCCCCTCCCCCAATGGCTCATGCTGTGCAGGACACCAGCATGCAATATGAAAATTCCAGGGTTCCATTACCGACCCCTGTGCAGGAACCCAGCTTCCTGAAAACGTGCAATCATGGAGGGAGTCAATGATGTCTCAAGCTCTTGGGCCCCAGACACCCATGAGGGACACCTGGGTTGAGTTTCAAACTCCTGACATCTGCATTTGGCCTGGCTCTGTTCACGGCGTCACAAACATTTGGCAGGTGATCTCTCGGTGTCTGCCTCACTTACGTCTTTACTATCTCTCTTGATAAAGTGGTGGCAGACTTCCAGAATGCAAGAGCAGGAAGTTGGATCAGAAGGGGAGGTGCCAGGGCTAAAACTGTCCCTCTAATATGGAATATGGGTCACAACCTGATCCTCTGCATCACAACACCAACTCCTGAGGTTTTTTCTTTTTTTTTCTTTTTTATGAAGGATTCATTCGTAATGTGTAATGTTTCATGATGTGGATCTAGTACATTGATTTTTCATTCTTTTGTTGGAATGGATATTTTGTGATTTTTTTTTCCTGTTCCACATATGTTAGAATCGACATTATCACATACATTTTAATAGGCTATATATCTAAGCCTATTGATTACTGGGGATTGCTATGTTTAAGAGTTTTTATATTTTTTAAATGAAATAGATAGATACTAGAAAGCACTCTCCCAAAGTGTTTTGATGAAGTTACCTGTGTATTGCCAGTGGATTAGTGTTTTGATTCCTCTACCTCTTATTCAATACTAGATTTGTATTATTTTGTGATGATTCTGTTCTTTAGTTCTTTTTGTTTTCACTTTTTATTTCCTTTCTTCCAGTTCTTTTTGATTTATTATGTTGTTTTACTCTTCCTTTCCATGTTAGAGGTTTCTGATTAATTTTCAGACATTTTTATTTTCTAAGGTAAGCATTTAGATTTGCAATTTTTTTCTTACACAAACTCATTTAGCTAATTACCACTTGCTTGGTATGTAGTTTTTAAATAATTACTTGGCTTTAGCATTCCTGGTTTTAATTCTTGTTACTGTAAGTAAATGCAAAAGTTTCACATACACGGTGTGTTAGTTATGTTTTTTTACGATTTCCCACTTGATTCAAGGTTTCTGTATTGAAAGAATTTCTTGTGCACCTGTTGGATTTCACCTTGTGTTCTAAAAATGTTTTTCCCAAAACGCAAACCAATAAAAGCAAGATTTCTGGTGAAAAAAAAAAAAAAAAAAAAAGAGTGGCGGCAGAAAAAACAAGAACTCTTTCTATATTTTACCATCGATTAATATAATACTCACATTAAAAGTCACAAGAAAACAAGGGACAGTACCTCAGACTTTAAGGAGATTTTAAAGGCTCATCATCTGGTCTGAAGCCAGGCATATCTATAAAACATAGGCAGAGTTGTAATCATGAGAACATTTGTCAACCGTTGCTTTTTTTTTTAAATATATTTAATTTATTTGAAAGAGTTACACCGAGAGAGAGAGAGAGAGAGAGAGAGAGAGAGAGAGGTCTTCCATCCACTGGTTCACTGCCTAGTGGCTGCAACAGCAAGAGCTATGCCAATCTGCAACAGGAGCCAGGAGCTTCTTATGGGTCTCCAATGTGGGCATGTGGGCATGTGGGTGCAGTGGCCCAAGGTCTGCATCATCTTCTACTTCCCAGGCCATAGCAGATATCTGGATGGGAAGTCGAACAGCTGGCACTTGAACCAGTGCCCATATGAGATGCCAGCACTGCAGGCGGGGCTTTACCCCTACACCACATCGCCAGCCCCAACTGTTGCTTTTAAAAATTACGCATTCAGCTGAGTTCATCAATAATATATTAAAATTAAAGTAACAGCAATAAAGAATTCAGCTAGAGGGCCAGTGCTGTGGCATAGCAGGTAAAGCCACAGCAATTCAGCAATGGCATACCATATGGCTATGGTGCAAGTTCCAGTGGCCCCACTTCTGATCCAGCTCTCTGCTAATGTACCTGGGTAAGCAATACAAGATAGCCTGGTCTTTGGCCCCTTGCACACACATGGGAGACCCAGATGACGCTTCTGGATCCTGGCTTTGGCCTGACCCAGTCCTGCCCATTGTGGCCATTTGGGAGTGAACCAGCAGATGCAAGACCTCTCTCTCTCTCTCCAGCAGATGCAAGACCTCTCTCTCTCTCTCTGTCTCTCTTGCACACACTCTCCTCTTTCTCTCTCTCTCACACACACACACTCTGCCTCTATGCCTCTCCACCTCTCCCTCTCTCTATCTCTTTCTGATAAAAACATAAAAAAAAAAAGAATTTCTGCTTGTTCAATCAGCACTTTAAACCAGGTTGAGTTGGACATATAAACAAATAGCGAAAGAAAAATCATCAAAATAATGGAAATCATTTCAGTTGAGACATTAGTACTTAAACAGTGTTTCACTGATAGATACTGACCAATAGTTTTGTCTTCTGGCACTCCAGCAATACCAGATAATGTGTCCTTTGCATGCTCTTGGGCACTTAGACTGACAGCCACATCCTTTTCAGTATCTCCACTTGATGCCATTGACGCTTTTCTCTACAGAAAGAAATAATGCCACAAATTCAGCAAACATTCATTCACGTGCTCAGCCAAACAGGAAGACGTTTGCTGTGCTTGGGAAGCAATAGGCGCGCTCAAACAATGAGCTAAATATAAGGAAAGAAGACAGATTCTATCCTGTAGACTAGGGGCAAATTGACCTCTGTCGAACAAAGAACAGAAAACCAGAATTCCTCATTTTCAACTATCGCAGTCAGTAAATTACAATGAGGGTAGGATGACAGAATCTTCAGCATGACTTTGAAAACTCAGCAAAGTCTGTAGGGTTAGGAACACATTTAGTACGGCAGAGAAAATGCAGGGGCAAAGCATGATGGGCCTTCTAAACAGAGCAGTGTGAACAAAAGGAGGAGGCAAAACATGGCAAATGAGGGTTAATAAAGTAAGGAAGTAAAATGGCCAACATATTATTGAAACTGAGAGAGACAGGTGCAGTATGTATCCAAGACCAAACCATGAATGCCTATGGCATGCTGGAATCAGAGCTCGGCAGCAATGGGCTCCATCTTTCTCATTCACCATTTGGTCAATGTAGAAGAATATTTATAGTTATGCTAGTACTACATATCTATCATAAACATGTTGAATTCATTAAATTTTCCAAGATAGCCTGTGTTTATTAAAGACACCATTTAAACAGGCTTTATTTTCCCAAAAGAAAAATGAATGATTACTCATGTTTTACCTCATGCTGAAATGCCATTACTTCTGATTAATTGGCATTTTGATTCATTATGCTTTTATTTGGAATTCTAAGCACATAGAAATGGCAGTCCAAATATTTCTCTCAAAATCTCATTCAGATGAACAGGTGGCATTAG